TATTGTCTTGACCACCTGTAACGATCAGTACAACAGGAGATGTCAGCCCATGGTCAATATATACATCAATACATCTAGTCCAATCTTGATGCCCAGAAATGGTAGTGCTTAATGTGAAGTTAAGACTTTTAACATTTTCATTCTGACCATTGACCAGATGACCTGACCATATTTCTGTCTGTCCGTTGTCAAGACCAAGAACAATAAAATGAAGCCAAGATACGTCAATATTGTCACTGGACGTTTGGAAATTATATTTTATACAAAAACGTCTGAGACACAGACAAAGTGATGGAACTCGTGTGATATTACTGATTAAAATACATGGTAATAAAATTGATTTATTTGTAAGCAGATTCTGTGAAATATGAACAGACCAGTTATGAACTGATGTATCCGCTGCAGCTGATAGAAATAATGTCCCTGAGCACGAGCGATCATTTTCCGATGAAGGGAAAAAGTAACCATCAATTGAATTTATTATGGAGTTATTCGGAGTCTGGAATTTATTAATTACATGCCAGTTTTCTGTTTCATCAAGACAGATTAAACTTTCAGTTGGACAGGCCCAAATTATCACTAGACCACAACTATCAGACGACATTAGAAAACACATAGTGTGTTGATAAACTTGTGATGAATCATTGTTATGAAAACAACAGTCCAACCACCGTACACATCTGACATCAGAATTGTGACCAGGTAACGTTTGATAAACACGAAAATTGTCTTGAGAAAAATCTGTATTCAAATTAATCATTTCATCATTTAGATAAGAGTAGGATTTAGCTAAGCATATAAAATGACTAGAACCGAATGCCAATATAGTTTCAACTGTTGACTTATTTGATGACCTGACAGCAATGATAGAACTGCATCCAGAGAAATGATTAATACCAACTGATGTATAGACGCAATGGATTTTAGAGTTGAATGATATTTTTTCTTTACTTGCCGAGTCCATTATAGAAGGTAACGTGCTAAGGAGAAAACAAAATCAGAGTTAAGGGAGGTCATAAACATATTTGTCTAAAAATACAAAAGTAGGAAAATTAACTTACTAGTACAGAGTGAAACAATTACTTACAATTCAAGTTTATATCATCTAGTTATCGTAGTGTCGTGAACGAGAACACAAGTGGGGGCAATCAACTGTATTTCAACACAAAATTACAGAACGTCTTAGTAAAATCTGAGAACCATACAGTAAATACTTAATTTTTAAAATGTCAATCATTCGTTTCAGACTTCACTGTTCTATCATTCTTTGTTCTCGTTCTCTTTTCTTCAATCTTCTTAAATTTCTGCCTCCAGTCATTTCACTTTCGATTGATAATACATGACACTTATACGTGTCGACATCAGTAGCACACACCAGAGTAGTACAGATGATTATTCAAGTTAAAACAGATTAACTATTTCTTCTTAATTGGTCAGTTTATACTTGAAATCGGTACTGAATACACATTAGGAACAAAAGAAAACAAATCAGCACAATAATTAGTCAAAATCCAAGTTAATGAAAAAAACTAGACATTGTGAATATAGTTCAAAGAGAAAAGACAAGAAGAGTGTATTTATGGAAGAACACTGATTGTCAAGACATAGGAGGTAAAAAATGAGTGCATCCGGACAAGCATCCAATCCTGATCGATGTCATTCAAAAACTAATCATGATGTCTATACACACTCCAACCACGTAGTCTGACACTCCTAATATATATCAGACTGACAGTTAACGATTACATGGATTAGTGCCACATCCAGGTTCGGTCTCAATTGACTTCTTTAAAACTTACTACTTATCGAATCAACATTAAACATTGAGATAACGGGTAGTTACTCATGTGTAAAACATGTCACAGACACCTTCTTTAATGAAGATCTGTAGGTGACACCTTTTTCAGTATCCTACATTTAATCTTAGCATTGTTTATTCATTTGTTTCACGACACACGAGTAACATCTCGAAAACACCTGTGAACAAGAACGTCCAGGGAAGAGTAAAGAAGTGAATTGGTGCACAGGGTACTCGATACTTCCTTGGTAGATGGAGATCATATCTATACTACAAGTAACCCAAAAAGTCAAGTGCGCTTTCTGAATCCGTCCTCCTTACCAACCCACCAGTGTCAACGAGATTTCAATGATAAGTAAAGTGCTCAATGAGTTCAACTATTTCAACTCCAACGACCGGTCTAGGAGTTGATTCAGACCACTCTGGAGTAAATATTTTGCATTTAAACGGAAAGCAACTATTAAGGAAAACGTCAAGATAACTCTGTATTTCATCGGCGTTATCACTAAAAAGGTATATGTTATCTGCGTGCTCCAGAAGATGAATAGGTCTTTAAAGAGACCATTTCGACAGGAAGAGCTGACTCTCCCCACCCTTGGCCGTACCAGGGCATTTGGGTGCTGATTAGTTACAGCTTTTAAAGCAAAACTCGATTGTCACTGCTTAAATGGGATTAGTTTGTTACTATTTATTTATTTATTTGAACATAAATATTAGTACAAAAGAGCGCCAATATATATGCGCCACACAAAACAATGAGAATTCGAAGAGAAAAAAAATATAAGGAGCGTAAAAAAAGAGCACAATCACGGAGAGATTCGTGTAAGGTAGTGGGTTTCGTTCCGATCGAGGATGTATTGACCATATCTTCACCCTCAGCCAAATGTTAGAACACCGCCATACCTATCAAAGGCCAACAATCGTAGTGTTTCTTGACATCAGGGCTGCCTTCGATTCGTTGGATAGGACTGTTCTCTGGGATTGTCTATTGAGAAGTTTATTAACACCCTAAAAGCCCTATATACAAACACCTCAGGCAGAGTGAGGGCATACAACCACCTTTCTCCATTGTTTCATTTACGAAGTGGGGTTAGACAGGGTTGCCCAATCTCATTATTTCTCTTCAACTTTGCCATCGATGACATTCTGGAAACAGCTCTGATGGATGTACGTAATGGCGGTGTGGATATCTTGCCTGGAGAAAGACTTCTCGATCTTGAGTATGCGGATGATATTTTCTTACTGTGCGATAATGCCCAAGCCATGTAATCCTCACTTTATGAGTTGGCAATCAATGTCCATAGGTACGGTATGTGCTTTGCACCTTCGAAGTGCAAAGTACTTCTACAAGATTGGCAGGATTCTAATCCTGTACTCACCCTAGATGGTGAGCAGATAGAAGTAGTCGAGAAGTTCGTGTATCTAGGTAGCTGCATAAGTGCTGGTGGTGGCGTGAGTGATGAGATCGATTCACGTATAATGAAAGCCAGAGCGGCTTATGCCAATCTGGGCCATCTTTGGCGCCTTCGTGATGTTAGTCTGGCTGTAAAAGGTCGGGTCTACAACGCGTCGGTGAGAGCAGTTTTGCTCTATGTTTGTGAAACCTGGCCTCTCCGAGTTGAGGACGTTAGACGACTCTCTGTGTTCGATCATTGTTGTCTCCGAAGGATTGCTGACATCCAGTGGCAACACTATGTCAGTAATGCAGAGGTTCGGCATCGTGTGTTCGGACACAGAGACGATAATGCAATTGGTGTCACTATCTCGAAATATCGACTTCGGTGGCTTGGATGTTCTACGAATATCATTCCAGAGAATTCCACGACGTGCATTATTTGCCAATGCTGGGACTAGTTGGAAGAAGCGGAGAGGTGGTCAGTGTATTACATGGTGTCGTGGGATGAAACAAAGCCACACAGGACTGGCATCTGCTAGTCCTTCACGACTCTCCGGTTGGGGTCCTAGAGATGGTGCAGCACAGTGGCAAGAGACTTCATCAGACATGACTCAGAATAGAAGCCAGTGGTGATCCTGTTGTAACTTTCTTTATAAAAATGGACGCAACTTCTTTAACTGGAAGAATTCTTTCTGGCTGTACCTTTGCTAACTTAACTGTCTCATTATTATTATTTCACTATTATACACTAATTTCTGTTCGTTATTGTCCCCCTTTTTCTTATACGCATCTTACATTATCTCTCTCTTCAAAATTCTCACTGTTATTGTGTGGTGCGTATGTGTGTTTGGTGACCCTTTGTACCAATATTTATGTGTTCAAATAAACGAAAGATAACCAACAGACAATTACTTACTCCTTCCTTTCTCAAAATTACGGTCAGTTGAAAAACTTTGTTGACTATGTTCTAAGTTCGATCACATTTTTATGAGGTAATAACAATCGTTTACATATATTACGTAATTTTACAACCGATAGATAAATGTAGTAGAAAGCTAATACCACTGTCCGACTGAGTACCAAATCATGGATACTCCCTAGGTTAATACAGTTCATCAAAGTAATTATAGCAAGCATTTTATTACCAACTCGATAAACTCTGTTATTAGACAAATAAAAGTCAAACTAAGGGAGGATAAGGCAATTGTCTCGTTTGATATCGTGGCCTGCCTTACATCGAGGATATATAAGATAGCTAAAAAGGCTATCTTAAACATGGTTTACGACGAATTAACAACATTCTAACCTGAAGATTACTTTATTATAAGGTTGCAATGATGACGAAATAAAACATCGGCTTAGAAGAGAATATATTTCGACTCTTGGTTGTCCTACATCAGAGAAAGGAACAAATACTCATCTCGACAGTGTGGCATTTCATTGTATACGACATCCTTTAAGGTCAAAGGATAACTCGAAGTCTAGATTGAAGTACCAAACCGGTGATAACAGTCAGTTGCGTGTTTAAACTGTGATCTAAAATTCACATAAATAAATTATACAACATTTGTCCACAAGTTTTGATGACTTGTTTTTTCAGCTGGATACACCTGCATTTTAATGAATATTTAGTGTTCACTACCCCGTTGAGTCATGACAGCCATATATGTACAGCTCATACTGCTTATCAATATAATCCGACGTTTCTTGCTTTTGGCTGACAAGATTGCGCTAAACACAATATAATATGTTAGCTAATTAATATCACCATACAATACAAACAAACAAAGTATGTAAGAAAACTATTTAAACAAAACACATTTAACTATAATCTTTTACAGTGGAAATTACACAGGAACCTTTGCAGTTAAAAAAAATAATGAACAGTGAGAAAAACTGTGAAGGCAATACGAATAAAGTAAATTTCCATCAGAAATTACACCACTAAATAAAGATATTGAACTGAGAGACAAAATATATCCTAACTAGAATGTATAACAAAGTATACGGATGATAAGAAGAAAACTCTATGCAAAGAAGAAAAATAGAAACAAGCACATAATGTTAAGTGAAAACTGTTATAACGGTATGAAAGAAAAGATTATTACTTTTTGAATAAAACAAAAAAATTCTGGACGAAATGCAAAATTATGATACATTAAAGCAAGAGATAATGCAACATGGAGTATTATTACTCAGCACCACTATCTGTATGTGTTGGGTCTGATTCAGATATCCACTTTTTCAAATATTGCCCTAAAAGATCACGTATTCTTTTGATACCTCCAGGTTGGAGCCAGCCATCTACTGGGTCAATTTCAGTTCGCTCAGGTACTTCTTCTAACATCGCTTGTACCTCAGGAATTTCTATATCTGAGAGACAATAACGGACTTGATGTGTAGTTGGCCAGTTATTAGGTCCAAAACGATAATCTGCAACCTAAATAACAGTAATTTTAAAGAACAAATAAGGTTATAATTCCACATGATGTAGCAAGAGTTTTTACGAGAAAAAGAGAAATCTATGGTGAACAATAGACAATGGGTAGTCACGGGAGGATGGTCAATTACTTTGTCTTACCAAAGCCAATACTTAACAGGCGAAATCCAATGACTCCAACTTCTTATAAGATGGGATACTCTAGTTCATTTCGCGATCCCTTTAAATTATGAAAAGGATGTCTGTATCAGAATACCTCTGATTCAAATACAGATCTTCATTAGAATTGGCTGTAAGATATTAGTGTGAATACTGTTGATCTTACCGCTTCAGTATAAAATGGCTGGTAATTTCGTTATCTATACATAGTTTTCAGGTAGACCTAGAAATCAGCTTATGAATTACTACTGTTCCACTAAGCATTCAATTATTAGGGATTGTGCAGATCACATTTCATAGTTCACTTGATTTCTGTTGATAATGAGAAGACCCAATTTAATGCACAGAAAATACATGTTAGATGAACAGTAACAAAAATACCTATTAAGATGAAAATATATGTAATCTGACAAAGCCGTCCATAGTTTAAACATGAAATCCAAGTAATAGGTCTCTGCTAGCCATTACCAAAGCAAACAGTTATGAAGTAAACTCCGACACATTAAAATGTATGTACATTAGAAATAGTATGATTACAACTAAATATTATTGATTCATCGGCAGCAGAACATACTTTTTCAAACTTTCTCAACCTTACAACTAGTCTGCACCATTTTGAAGAATCTCATAAGAAAATTTGCGTTTTCCAAACCCCATATGGTTGGTAGTGAAATTGAGGGAGTGGGTAGGATAGTCCCTAAAACCTTGGTTAAATAAAAATTGTAGCAGGTACCTCTCCAAACGAAATATAGACGGTCAAATAACATCAATCCAAAGAATAGTAATCACATGTTAAAGCCTAATAAAATATTCGCTAACTAAAAAACTCCAACAACTACAAATGTAATACTACAAGTGAAAAGGAAAGACTGACATCAATAGCGTCTAAAATATCTACATGTATAAAAGTAAAAATGTAGATTTCGAAGTATACTTCAAACCTTAGTACAATAAAACAATAATAAGTGAAATGCATAGGATTTCGAGCTCTAATAGTTCCCAGTAATTTTAAATTGAATTCCTTATGTTAATCCGAGCATCCGCATGTTATTAACTAACCTTCACACAAAGTATGACTTAAAACAAACGATATCAATATGCCTTTAGTGAATGAGTTACATCATTAACGTTAAAAAACTGTGCTAAGCAAAGGAAAATGGAAAACCATATTGTATACTCAAGTGTCCCTTCTAAAAGAAACATTCAAGAAAAATATGAAACACACCTTGCCTAAATTTTTTTGTATTCTGTCATCACCATCGTCATCCTCAGCATCATCTATAATAGTCGGATCTAATTCATCATTTCCATCGTAGTCGATATTATCTTCTTGAGATTTCTTCGAGCTATTCAAAAGTTCGTCCCAGAAACTATCCTCCCTGGAATGTACTGATTCATAAGATTTACGACAATCCGCTAAGACTCGTTTATTGGCATCCGTGCATAGCATACGTTTCCTCGATGAAGAATGACATAATAATTTACGTACAACCATATAAGCTTGTACTCGAAAATCAATTACCTAAAATAAGCAATATATGTTTGTAAGATACACAATTAGTCTAACTGGTTAAACCAGGTAGGTATTTACAAAACGTGAACCTTATTTCATATAACTAAAGGGTCAAACAGAAATAGGTGGTGTATCAAAATCGTAGAAAAAATTCGTATCTTGGACGGATACTTTTGATGGTGTTGTGGTCCTTAACCAGGATGGTTTGACTAAAAAGACATCACTAATATCCTGAACAATATTTTAAAGTTTTACAAGCGTAATGAAATTCCATTTATTTGGAAGTGAGAGGACTTCCACATAAAGATCTCTCCCACCATAAAACAACTAACTTGTCTCGTGAAGTGTATTCACTAGCAAGCTGTGGAAATCTATGTCAGATCTTCATCATTAATCAAATGCTCAATAGGAGGAAAGTGAATGAGCAATGTGGAAGACAGATCTGAACAGCTGATACAAAAACAACCTTAGATCACTAGAAATATCTAACTAAATACTACCACGTATTAGGTGACAGATATATCTACCTTCATACTATGATAGACAATGATCCGATCTGAACAACTACATCATATATAACAGTATCAAAATGACAGAGTCATAATAAAGAAGCAGATATCAAAACCACCATTTAGGCAAACCCGGTACATTAGTTTGATGTAAGGCCAAAGTTAAGTTATTTAAGTTACAGTAAAGAGCATGAGACAATGAAATGTCAAAGAAAAGTAGTTGCATTAATCATTCCTATCCTACTTTAATTAAGGAGTTACTAAATAACTTCAAAGTCAGTTTAACTGTTACAAGTTACACAAACTTCTTGAGGGAAGATATCAATGATTGAGAAATATCAACCCTAAAATACAATATTCAGTTTAGACCGAACTACGTTTGTGTATCCCATACATGTCCAATTAGCTTACATACTTAACAATCATGCAATTAAAGTTACAAATAACACCCCAGGCATAAGACAATACTTAAACTGGCAAAACAAAGTATAGTTTACGAAGAAATATACGAATATGTAAATGAAAAATATTTTACTACATAACGCATAAGCATACTTGATAACGGCGAGCTTCGGGATCTTTGCGAGGATCATAACCATACCGGATCCAAGCTCGACTCCATGGTCCACGAATCATATAGTAAGCTACAGAAGGAAGTATCTGAGTAAAATAGACCAATCGAGTATCTCCAGGCATGTGGTAAGCCAATGCTGGACGCAACCAAATCGGTCGCTCATCGAAGAGCTAAGTGAATGAAACATTTATTTATTAGGCAGGATATTTATAGCTCAGCAAAAACAGATTGAATGAATTATCCAAGCATGAAGTTTTAAATTAACTGAATTATTAAATTATAGTTCAGTAATTATGACTGAAGTTTACTTCATAAGCATGAACATAAACAACTTCTTAGAATGAACTTTCAAGATCCCAACGATAAAATCAAATTGCACTGATAGAGAAAACAAAACACAAAACCATACATAAATCATGCTATTAAAGTTAGGAGAATTAATTATCCTAAATTGTATAATTGAAGCTAACATTAACTAAAATTATAAACTGCCCACCTTTGTTTGACTAGTAACTGCTTATAAGCTGGCTAAAATGGAACTAGGTAACAGTAACATAGTGATAAAGTATATTTAACATATTCAAAAACCAAAGATTTCTAGTGAATACAAAGATAACCTCTGTACGAGAGAATATAACAACCTTGATCAACAAAATCCAAATTAAAACAATAAAGCCAAATATAAAACACACTTTTTGAATTTCATCCTTTACTTGAATAGCAGATAGCCCAAGATTTATTACACGTTGTATCGCTCCAGGCCTAGGAGAAGTAGGAGTTACATCATCCAAGTTCACTAGATATCCAAACGTCGGTCGGGCCTTTCTTGCTATAAGCGATAACAAGAAAAATAGCTCACTACAATTAACTAAAAATAAGCATGGATAAAATAGTAGTGAGTAAAAAAAATACCAAAAACAAGTGCACGGTGTACAGACACGGTCAATTTTTCATGTATACATCTAACAACCATCTAATCAAGCTGAATTAAAGAATGTGAAACTTGCGAGTATCGGTTTACATCAATATATAACTTAACAGCGAAGCTTAAGATAGGAAACATCAGTTTATATTAAGGTAAAAGGTTAGAATAAAGTAAATACTAAAAGAATATTTCTAGTCGTATTGTTGTTCAGATTATGCTACCAATAGCTGATATGTTAGTACAAATATACTGATACTCTATGCTCCTACAGAAATGGTTCAGTCCCCCAAATTACTTGCACTACAAACTAGTATGGTATTTATTTTAAATTTTGAAATTGATCTTATCGCTGAAAGCCTTCATACAAGGCATTAAACGTCTTTATTATGTTCGAAAATGACCGTTACTTAGACGGCATCATCGTTTGAATATGCTATTTATCTCGTTTTGCAAAGATAGTGTAAACGTATTTGTACATAATGGTTGTTAAACAGTCATTTACTTCTATGTTTTCTATATATTCTCTGCTGATGACTTAACTTTAGACTAGCTGGAAGTGAATGTAGAAGATATGAACCGAAGTGGATAAGGATTCCAACTTGTGGATTCATGTTTAAAAGCCAAATATCTTGGGGTAAAACCATCAACATTAAAAATGAAAAGAAATAAAACTGTTTATGTCTATTGTTCCAAGAAGTATAATCTAGAAGTATTTGGGAGCTATCAATTCGTAACAAAAACGTTTGGTGACTAGATTAGGTATTACCAAAGGTTTCTAACTTGACCTCGAAAGTATCTCGTTAGTCATCAATCCGTATGTTTCATCTGCTTGATTCATTCAGTTAATAATACAACAATAGCACCATCTACTGTTGTGAGATTTTCGGAGATTACAGAATAAAATTGGTGACCAAGTGTTAACAAAAAATATATCACATGATCGAGTCTGAAGTTTGTTGGTAATTATTGAGGTGCTGAATAATTTGCAGAAAATTTTACATTGTAAACTGTGAACTGTAGAGATTGAAACCATAATTATTTTTTAAAAAAGCGGATTATGAATGAAACGATAAACAGATGGAAAAAGGTAAAAAAAACATCACTGGAAACATCCCAATAATTACAAGAGGAAATATAAAATATTCAGTATAGAAGGCCTAGCGATAATTAAAAGATTAGGAGCCTATCAAATACACACGGTGTAACGATTCACAAGATTCTGAACAAGATTATGAGAACTATAGATTATCCATAGCTAAGAAAACGGACTTAAGAAAAGTTAAAATCAAAACCATAACAAAACGTCGGCAATACTGACCCAAAGCCATCTAATTTAAATAACATATATGTTTCATATAATTGGTTCCCTTTATGAATTTCTAAAGAGCAAGAACAAACATTGATGCAGAATAGTATGAATTCATAATATTTCAAGGTTTCTCGTCAGCTGCTTACAAACCAAAAATGTGATAGAATTTTTTTTTGCAGATATAGTGTGAAACAATTGACATGAGTGTAAATAACTGGATTACAATAATAACTATATATATATGCTAGAACAGGTCAGAGGTTAAAAAAGGGATTAATTCAGGGTGGGTGGTGCAATAGTTTGGTGAAGTTCATAAATTGTGTGATAATTTTAGAGAATAATGGAATTGAATAATGATAAGATGGGTTACGTAATTATATTTAAACAGAATCTGAAAAGTCAACATAATTTAAGAGGATCAGGTGGTGGAAATGTGTGAATAAAAAGTTGGTTTAAGAATTAGGTAATAGGGAAGAAGTATAACACAAAATAAATATTTTAAAATAAATAAATGAATAAAATAACCCAAATAACCAAAAAACAAAAACAAGGATTACCAGGGTAATGATAAGTTTGTTAAAGTCTCTTTTTGAATGCATAAATCCGGTTTAAGTTTTTTTTTATATCGCAATCGCTTCAGCGAAACGGAGAGTCAGTCAGCTACAAATATGCATATGCATATGCAGCCACATATATGCATCGGTCCAAGTTGCCATACCTCATTAACACAACAAGATGAACACCGGATTCATATAAGTGGTCAATTCAGAGGTGGTAATATATAAAAGAAAGATTGAAATAAGGATATAGTACAGGAAGAAAGAATTAGTTCGTAGAAAGAAAGATATGAAGCAGTTTTAATCTCTTAGTTTAAGAGAAGACAGAGAGTGTATACACCGACGCCATTGTGACCGATTCTGAGCCATGTCACCAAGAGTCTCCAACCATTGATTACGATAGTCACGCGGACCCCAACCAAGTAGTCTGCATCTACCAACATGGCTCTAACAGCACTCAAGACCACTGTATTCATAAACGGAGAGTAGTCCCACTTCCTTGTCTATTGGTAATTTTAAAAGCGTGCAAAATGTCGACGGTATGCTCGGTATCAAGTAAATGCCGAGCTATTGCACTGTTTAGAGCCTTGGTCCCTCGCAGCCTCAGGTTCTTCGGAACATGCACTCTTCTCTCAGTTCTTCCAATGTATGTGCTTTGGCACGTACATGTGAATTGATAAATGCAGTTGGAGCTACTAAGAAAAGAGGACTTGTCGATTTTAGTTTGTTTAAGTGAGCAGTTCGTTTGCCATACTGTCGTAAGTTTTGCTGCTGGGTAGGCCACTTTCAACACAGAATTTAATCTGTGATTAATTAATCAGGCAATTTCACCTCCTTTGAAACGTAAATGTAAGAAGCAAGTTTTCTTTTCTACTCCATCGTACTTTGTCCGAGGATTGGTTTTTGCATATTTCTGGATGAATTTCAATGGGTATGCATTTTCACGTAGAACATTAGTGATGAGAGTAATTTCGTCATCATCGAGGCTGCTACCTTGACGCGGTGGTCGGGCTTGCCTATCGTGATGACCCAACCGAGCTATATTGGCTGGAACATATGTTCCTGCAGGTTCTACCATGCCAGGCAGGTCGATTGGCGAACGGTAAGACTAAAAGCAGCAACTCAAGGTCTGAGGGCGAAGTCGTACTGCTGACTGTAGAGAGGTGTGACAGCAGTAAGGTGTTTCCCTCGGACAACCAGCATGACAGCGATGCTGCCTTCCCACAAGGAGGGGTGGGGTTAGAAAGGTCGACCCTAAAAATGCACACCTCACCTTACCTCACGGATTTCCGTCTCCGGCGGTAAGGCCCCTTGAAGAACGGAGCTAACACGTCAAAAACCTTCCACAAAAAGGCCGTGCGCGACAGGCCTCAAGCAGTTGTCCCTTGGGCTCTGCGGTCACGCTCCCGGGTCGTGAAGACCAACACTAATCCAATTTCCTTTTCAGGTTCCTCAAGAAATACCCTTCCACGGTGTGGGCAGCCGGGAAGTGACATCAGCCCTCATACCCGTAACAGCACAAGAGACCAAGGTGGTCACATTCAAATCCTTCCTACACCTCCTAATACCTCTCTTATCCTCCCGACTAACCCTCCTCACGTCTCTTTATCACTGGTTAGTTATATCTTGTCAAATTGTTATAAAATATCAGTACTTGTCGACGAAGTACATTTTAATCCGTTTCTGTTACTTGAGAAACAACAGCGCTTGTACTTGGCACGTTACTCTACTCCATAATGATGATTAAAATGTATTTCGTCGACAAGTACTGATATTTTATAACAATTTGACAAGATATAACTAACCAGTTAAAACAAATTATAAAACTAGCCATTTCATTGGACGAAACGGGATGAAAAATATTGTAATTTGAGGGTTGAAAAAATTTTTTAATGGGGGGGGGATTTTTTAAAAACATTTTTGCAAAAATTGCCGGGCGGATAATGTAAACCAAATATCCCCTTGGAAGAAACGGCAGAGATTATATGTGAATATCAAGAACTCATGCCTTTATCAATGCGGGAATTCAAACAGCTCCTGTTTTTGTGTACAAAAAACGTATAATTTAAATTTAACAATGTTCTGTACCGCCAGACTGATGGAGTAGCAATGGGCAGCCCTCTGGGCCCAACTCTGGCCGACATATTTATGGGACATCTGGAACAAAAGAAGCTCAAGCACGCAATCGACAACACCACACTCTACTGTAGATATATGGATGACACTCTTCTCGTCTGTAACAACCATGAGCACGCCATTAGACTACTCGATCGGTTTAATAAAGTACACAAGGACATAGAATTTACTATGGAACAAGAAGTTGAATTCAAATTCTATTTCCTTGATGTTGGGATCATACGAACATCTGATGGCACGCTACACAGACATATTCATCACTGAAATACTTGGAGTGGTCTATATCTCAATTACCATAGTTTCTGCACAATGAGTTACAAAATGGGTATTGTACGAACCCTTTTTGACTGCGCTCGCAAAATTTGTTCAAAGGAATGCCTTGATGACGTAAGTCAGTCAGTCAGTAACAACGTAGAACTTCGTACGTACGTACATCAGTTCGAGTTGCCACACCACATTAGCACAGAGATGCACTTGTCGATTCAAATCCCGTAGTGGTAGAGGTAATAAGAGTATAAGCAGTAATCGGGAAGATTAGGGTTTGGAGATGTTATTTAAAGAGTATAATCCAGTGAAAGAAATTTGGAAAGAGGAAAAAAGGGACATGAAGAATTCAGAAGATTAGAATTTGGGAGAACACAGAGAGTGGATGCACCTGCGCCATTGCAAACGATTTTGAGCCATGTCATTCAGGGTCTCTAACCATCGGTTGCTGTCATCTCGCGGTCCCCAACCAGGTAGTCTACACCTACCAACATGACTCAGTTCACTTGTCAGTGACTTCATGGACTTGTGCCATGTTTTGGTTTGGCCGCCCCTAGCTTGCTTCCAACCTACTCCTATACCACTGAACATAGCACGTCGAGGCAGTCGGTCGTTGGGCATACGTAACACGTGTCCCAGCCATCTCAACTGATGAAGTTTCACTACTTCATCAATTGATTTGCCATCCTTACCTAGTACCCGTTTCCTAACAACTGTGTTACTTACTCGATGGTCCCATGATATACGAGCAATGTTTCGAAGACACCTATGATCAAATACTAGTAACCTACGGATATCCTCTACTCTTACCGGCCATGTTTCACTGCCATAAAGTAGGACGGAACGAACTGCTGCGCAGTAAACACGTCCTTTGGTTGATAGACGGATATCTCGCCTACGCCATAAATGACGCAAGTTGGCAAAAGCTAATCGAGCCTTCTGTATCCGTGCTGAGATTTCGTCACACACTAAACCACAAGGGCTGATGAGACTTCCAAGATAAGTGAAGCGGTCGACACACTCAACTACTTCACTCCCTATCACTAGCTCGGGTGTCGATGTGACCCAATCCTGAAGCAACATTTTGCATTTCAAGGGAGAGAATCGCATCCCGAACATGCTTGCATTGTTGCTTCGAGTGGTCAGAAGACTCTGCATTTTGTCAGCGTCTTCACCAAATAAAACTATGTCATCTGCATATTCTAAGTCAACAAGTGAACCTCCTGGTAGAAGTTCAACCCCTGTATATTTAGATGAGGAGAGTGTTATCTCTAAAAGTACGTCAATGACAAAGTTGAACAAGAATGGGGAGAGTGGACAGCCCTGACGAACACCACTTGAGGTGATCAATTCTGATGACAGTTCGCCATAAGCTCTCACTCTACCAGTGGTGTTCGAGTAGAGAGCCTTTATAAGGTTAATGTACTTCTTTGGTACTCCTTTCAGTGACAAACACTGCCATAGAACCTCACGATCAATAGAGTCGAATGCCGCCTTAAGGTCGAGAAATACTACCATTGTGGGGCGTCTGAATGTGTGTCTGTGTTCTAGAACCTGACGTAGTGTGAATATCTGATCTATACAACCACGTCCAGGTCGAAAACCAGCCTGGTTTTCTCTAGTCTGCTCTTCACAAGCTCTAGTTAGGCGTCGAAGTATTATTGAGGCTAATATTTTAGACACTATATTTGTCAAACTGATTCCTCTGTGATTGTCACAAGAGGACTTTTGTCCTTTCTTAAAAACTGCCACAATCAGTGATTGAGACCAGTCAGATGGGATTACGTCCAGTTCCCAAATTCTACCTAAGACCTCGGTTAATCTCATTGCTAATACTGGACCACCATCCTTAAAAATCTCAGGAGTAAACCTGTCAGGGCCTGCTGCTCTCCCTCGCTTCAGATTTCCTATGGCTTTTTCAACTTCGTAAAGGGACGGAGGACTTATATTAACTTGCCATTCAGGTTGACTGGAGATCGTGGGAAACCGAAGTGTGGCTGAAGGCCAGTTGAACTGATCCCTAAAGTGTTCTGCCCATCGATCCAATCTCCTGGATTGAGAATGAATAATATGTCCATCTTTCTCTGAGATTGTTTCGCTAACGGTCGGGTTCCTAATTCCGGTTTCCTTAACGAGCCTAAACAATTGTCTGCTATTACCTATTGCCGCTGCCTTTTCCATCTCTCTTGCTTTCGCTACCCACCACTGTTCGCGATCATTGCGTAGACTTCTTGTCAGCTTGCGCTTAAGCTGACTCCGCTCTTCATTATGTTCAGAGCCCGGTGGAATGTGTTTCCGAGCATTTATCAGTGAGATAGATGCTGCTGAGATCCAGTGTTGCTCCCTAACCTTCTGGTTTACCTTACTAGCAGATATCACTGCTGTTTCCACAGCTTTTCGGATATCATTCCATGCTGCATCGGGGTGGGCATCACATACATGGCGCGTTTCGGAGATGCAGAACACATCGACGGCGCGAGATTCTAAAGTTTTAGCTAAGGAAGCCTGCTGTCCTATTTGACAAAGTGTTCGGACGTTAAAAGCTCCTACGTGTAGTTTAGAGCGTGGTTTCAGGAGACCAGGAATGGCGTTCCACGTACTCGAATCGTTTGCCCTAGCGGTGCGAGGTGATAAAGAGACGTGAGGAGGGTTAGTCGGGAGGATAAGAGAGGTATTAGGAGGTGTAGGAAGGATTTGAATGTGACCACCTTGGTCTCTTGTGCTGTTACGGGTATGAGGGCTGATGTCACTTCCCGGCTGCCCACACCGTGGAAGGGTATTTCTTGAGGAACCTGAAAAGGAAATTGGATTAGTGTTGGTCTTCACGACCCGGGAGCGTGACCGCAGAGCCCAAGGGACAACTGCTTGAGGCCTGTCGCGCACGGCCTTTTTGTGGAAGGTTTTTGACGTGTTAGCTCCGTTCTTCAAGGGGCCTTACCGCCGGAGACGGAAATCCGTGAGGTAAGGTGAGGTGTGCATTTTTAGGGTCGACCTTTCTAACCCCACCCCTCCTTGTGGGAAGGCAGCATCGCTGTCATGCTGGTTGTCCGAGGGAAACACCTTACTGCTGTCACACCTCTCTACAGTCAGCAGTACGACTTCGCCCTCAGACCTTGAGTTGCTGCTTTTAGTCTTACCGTTCGCCAATCGACCTGCCTGGCATGGTAGAACCTGCAGGAACATATGTTCCAGCCAATATAGCTCGGTTGGGTCATCACGATAGGCAAGCCCGACCACCGCGTCAAGGTAGCAGCCTCGATGATGACGAAATTACTCTCATCACTAATGTTCTACGTGAAAATGCATACCCATTGAAATTCATCCAGAAATATGCAAAAACCAATCCTCGGACAAAGTACGATGGAGTAGAAAAGAAAACTTGCTTCTTACATTTACGTTTCAAAGGAGGTGAAATTGCCTGATTAATTAATCACAGATTAAATTCTGTGTTGAAAGTGGCCTACCCAGCAGCAAAACTTACGACAGTATGGCAAACGAACTGCTCACTTAAACAAACTAAAATCGACAAGTCCTCTTTTCTTAGTAGCTCCAACTGCATTTATCAATTCACATGTACGTGCCAAAGCACATACATTGGAAGAACTGAGAGAAGAGTGCATGTTCCGAAGAACCTGAGGCTGCGAGGGACCAAGGCTCTAAACAGTGCAATAGCTCGGCATTTACTTGATACCGAGCATACCGTCGACATTTTGCACGCTTTTAAAATTACCAATAGACAAGGAAGTGGGACTACTCTCCGTTTATGAATACAGTGGTCTTGAGTGCTGTTAGAGCCATGTTGGTAGATGCAGACTACTTGGTTGGGGTCCGCGTGACTATCGTAATCAATGGTTGGAGACTCTTGGTGACATGGCTCAGAATCGGTCACAATGGCGTCGGTGTATACACTCTCTGTCTTCTCTTAAACTAAGAGATTAAAACTGCTTCATATCTTTCTTTCTACGAACTAATTCTTTCTTCCTGTACTATATCCTTATTTCAATCTTTCTTTTATATATTACCACCTCTGAATTGACCACTTATATGAATCCGGTGTTCATCTTGTTGTGTTAATGAGGTATGGCAACTTGGACCGATGCATATATGTGGCTGCATATGCATATGCATATTTGTAGCTGACTGACTCTCCGTTTCGCTGAAGCGATTGCGATATAAAAAAAAACTTAAACCGGATTTATGCATTCAAAAAGAGACTTTAACAAACTTATCATTACCCTGGTAATCCTTGTTTTTGTTTTTTGGTTATTTGGGTTATTTTATTCATTTATTTATTTTAAAATATTTATTTTGTGTTATACTTCTTCCCTATTACCTAATTCTTAAACCAACTTTTTATTCACACATTTCCACCACCTGATCCTCTTAAATTATGTTGACTTTTCAGATTCTGTTTAAATATAATTACGTAACCCATCTTATCATTATTCAATTCCATTATTCTCTAAAATTATCACACAATTTATGAACTTCACCAAACTATTGCACCACCCACCCTGAATTAATCCCTTTTTTAACCTCTGACCTGTTCTAGCATATATATATAGTTATTATTGTAATCCAGTTATTTACACTCATGTCAATTGTTTCACACTATATCTGCAAAAAAAAATTCTATCACATTTTTGGTTTGTAAGCAGCTGACGAGAAACCTTGAAATATTATGAATTCATACTATTCTGCATCAATGTTTGTTCTTGCTCTATTTAACTTATATGTCTTTGAAAAATATTCATGCAGAACCGAAAAGCTTTATCTGACTTACAAACTGGCATTTTATGACTCTTTTCTTCAAGTTGAATGTACTCAGTCGTGCGATAACGAGGGGCAAAATTATAAAAACTTGGAGTATCTTGGCGACTAAATAGGACCGGTGGGAGATACAATGGCATATCACGAGATAAATAAGAATCAATCATTGTTGTTGGATCCTTGATTATGAGATCATTGTAGAATATTTTGTAATTAGGTGGAATGACTTTGGATGCTTCACTTGTATCTGTAGTCGGAACACGCTCAAATGGACCGAACTGAAAATCAGCCATCGCTAAATTATGAAATAAAAAACAGGTTATGTGACAAATATGATAAAAGTACCGGAAAATAAGTTTGAAAAATCTGGGAACATGGCAAAAGAACAATTATTACATTGCATTCACATATACACTAAGTATTAACCGCATAGAAAACACAAAATAGGGACTAAATTTGCAATGTTGTGTTTAAGTTATTTAAAGTTCCTCAAATAATCAATAAAGTTTGTCTATGTTTCAATTAATAACCAAAGTATCAATATTTAAAGTTCTTTATCAATATTCAACGTTTTCAATATAAGATGAGGAAATACAACATTGGCAGTAATCTAGAAGAGGTGCAATTCTTGGAATGTCAAATAGACATATTTGATAAGCTAAAAAAGAATATCTACTTGAAATAAAAGGAAGCTACGTAAATACTTATCATAATTCTAGCAAAAACCCCTAATAATTCCAAGGAAAAATGAAAAATAAAAACATACAACGATGAGAACAGTAAACTTTTAAAGATTTCCAGGAAAATAAGAAATGTACGAATTGGTGTCAGTGTGGAGACATTTAGGGTAGCTATCTAGTTCAAATTCCATCACGGATGTGAAGACGGATTTACATCAATTCCTTCGTACCATCTAGTTCTTATATCTCTGGTATTCCTACATTTTCCTAATTTATTGCATTCAACATGTTACTAGTTAGTTTTGTTAAACCACTAAAAAGTGATCAAATGAATTTATACACTATTGTCCGATTTCACACATTCATTCTACTGATCAACCGCCATTTATCTTATAACCGTCTTTCTTTGTAAGGCAACAACATAAGGAAATTGTATTAAAAATATTAAAAACTACCCCTGGGACAAATTTAAATGATTACCTAAACTGGTAACAGAACGATCAAAAATAAACCTAGCTATCCACAAGACATAGATGGTCAAGGTAGAGAGAGCGGTTGTACGAGCGTCTTTTAAGTATGAAAGTTAGCTTTGTGAATATGGATTCCGATCCCTTCTACAGTATGCAAGCGACGGGCTCGTAAATGTTATATCCAACAGCCCATCAATTATCACGTGACAAGACTGTCAATCAGAACAGCGACTAATACGACCTTGGCCCCGTGCCAAACAAATGACACGTTAACCAGCATGAGCAGGCTACAGTCAGCTCTGAGTCCCTATTGGTTCCTCTCATCTAACTCTGCCCATTGAGTTCAAAACACAATCTCAGTTTCCACTGCAGTTAATATACAAGCAAACCAGACCCCGTCACACCATAAAATAGAAAATAACAATTATACAAGATCAAGCCAAAAGTGGCTGAGTGTGAGAGACTGTAACTAATAAATCAGGAATAAGTTAAGAATGGTAAATTGTATTCTAATAGCCAATAGATCAGATGAAAGGAATGTATATAGTCTGGTTACTTAATAATATCCAATAAGAATATACATAACAACAGTTCATAAATAATTCCTAGCAGTCACCATTCCTTTATTCTTCGTCAGGACATAACAATAAACTATACGGAAAAATTGACGGAACAAGCTGGATAATTTTAAGAGCTTTATCCAAGTCAACTTTGTGTCTTGTGATAACCAAATGGGAGAATATGACTCGTAATCACTCCTACCTATCTTTTTCTCGATCAAGATTGACGGTGTTCTAGTATGCAATGACGGACTCTCCGAAATGTGCGCCCTATATGATCAGATCAATAGGAGTAAGAAATTAATGCAAGTCAGGAACTTAAAAACACTACGAATCATACGATTTGAGCACGAACAATGGTCAGGGGGGAGTTAAAATTTATGGTAAACTGACTGGACTTTGTACTATGATAACACCAACGTACAACAAAAGTTCACACCACTGATTCAATTAACAAACACTTAAAGCAATATCCATACCATCGAATTTATAAACCCGAGTTACGCGTCCCAGAATAACAGGAACTAATTTGAGCTCGCCTGTTACCTTGTTCCTAAGACGTTGAATACGTATAATAAATGAGTTGGACGAACGACCATCTCCACAAGCAGGCTTTGAATACACCATATGCGGACGAAAAGAGAGATTTAAACGACGTTTTTCGTCAGCGAATACCTAAAAAATAGAAAAACAATACTCTACATATAGCCATAAAACAGACAACAGAGTAGTGTTGTTAGAAAAGCAAAGACAAAATAAAAACAAAGTGTTAAATATCAAAATCAAAGTAATATCAATAGACAAGTAGCAAATGAATAGGGCATTGAAATGCCATGATGTAGAGATACAGAACGGAATCTATTTATGTCATCAAAATTAACTTCGAAACACCTAAAATCTTCCTGTTCTGTAAGACCAATACATAAACAGAGCAATGTTTATTATTTATTTATTTAAACACATAAACATTGGTACAAGGAGGCACCAAAGAGATATGCGCCACATAGATCATTCGATTTGTGTGAGGGCTTGGATACTGCCCGGGTGCCTAGACCGAAGCAGGTGGTTTTCTTAAGGGGCCACACCCCGAGCCTTTGACCTAAAGGTCTAACCCATAAGGCAGTGGAGCATCGTGAGGAGATGCAGTCCCATGGTAGCCGGTGGCCAACGATTGGTTCATACGCCATTTGTTCCCGCAGGATACTGGAGCCCATGTGCACCATTCGTTTGGACATTCGCTTTTCGTCCTCTAAATTTCGTAAACAACACCCGTGGTGAGAGAAGACAGTGAGTAGGACTTCCCTGGCAGAGGCTGTATACGCGTGGCCGCGTGAGAGCATTTCGAGAGGGAGGGTGGGCCCACACCACTCTCGGCTATACCAGGGCATTAAGGGGCAAACAGAGTAATGTATGTCTGAAAGTGCAAATAATTTAGAAATTCGGGGAAAAAATCAGCTTCCTATGCAGTTAGATTATAGAAAACAAATAAATCAACTGTAAATCGTTTTCTAGGTAATGGACATCAACCTAACATGAACTGGTGGAAACCGGGAGTAACTCGTTAACAGTTATGCAAAAGCGTACATGCAGAATTAGTAGCCGTTGTGTAGGAAAGTGAAAATGGCCATTTAGAGTGCAAAACTATAAACTAGTATTATTTGCGAAACTGCTCCCGTGTATATCAGATACTTTATGCCTTCAGAAGATGTATGATTAAGGTAATAATAAGAGATTGAAAAAGTAACATTTATCAAACAGGTCACTAACGCTGTGCTATTCTTAATACTAGTATAATAAATTCGTTTTATAAAATTATTATGTACGGACGGTTAGTAGCATAAGTACAATATTTGAATTTTACCACATTGAGGATGATGAAATAGCATCACCGCTGTGTGGACATTGCCACATAAAGAGAATTGCGATGAGGGATTTTAAGTGAAATGCGGAGACAACAAAATGTCTTTTAAGAGCAAGTACCGTTTTTGATTATACCACTCATCCGTTTTTAAGTGCATATTAATGACGTGGAACCTAAAGGTAAAGACTCGTCAATCAGGACATATGACACTAGACAGCAGCTATTTCTTGGCAGCTAAAATAACGGACGACTTGAAAGAGGCAGCGTGAATCACTGTAATTAGACTAAGACATAAACAGCGAAAACTCCGTTGCGAAAACTTTGATTCGTAAATGTGTTTGGTTCCCAACCCTGAAAATAAAACGTTAGCTGAAGACAACACAGATCTTATAGACAATAGACCAATAGTACACATGACGAATGAGAAACAAATACGACTATTTAGAGTATGATCACGAAAGATTATTCTTAGCTAACAAATCGTGGACGAAGTAAAGCATCCTATATGCTGCGATATTAACAGAATTTTAATTGGTGACAGTTATTATGTGTAAGTGACTTCATGTTGAACGCATTACGAACATAAACTTGTCATCAATGCAATTAACAACCATAACGAAATTGAGATGAGGATTTAAATTGAAAAATACTGCGGACACAGTAACAGTATTATCTGGAATATAACATACCTCAGATATTTGACTGAGTCCACCAAGCATTTCAATAGCAGTCTCTACATTATTTACCACTGCCGGGAACTCAACACCATAGAATGTATGACTTGGAAATGTTAAATCCATTTAAATTCAGGATCGTCAAAGTAGTCAATAAGCGCTTGACCAGGGATTTAACATGTAAGCTAATGCCAGATACTGTAACGATGACATCTGTTCCGAAAATATATTGAATGTGATCTGAAGGCACAGTAAGTGGTTCCAAGAATAAAGTATGGCTTGAAAGCTTTTAGAACAAGTGTTTTATTTATTATTTAGAATACTAAAGAATGGAAAAAGAAACAGCTCCCTAACTTGACAGGAAAAATGAGAACATGCCGAGCGTGACCTTGAACTACCAGATTGCCCTCCAGTGCTTTAAATCTGTAACAGGATTAGATCAAAATAGAGAGATGACTGCTTCTTAAGAGCAATTTTTGAGTAATAGAAAATGTTTTACGGCACTTAAATGAGTTTTCAAGTTGCGAGTATTCGACTATTCGATCATTTGTTGCACTGGCTTAAATAAAATTTGTTTATTTGATAGCAGTTGAAACCAATATATTCATGTCTTTCTGCCTGAGATTCGTGATCTGTGTGCACCATGATATTAGTGGTCATTTTCATATGATAACTCAGACTCAATACCCTTAGCTCCGGAAGCTCACGATTCCCAGGTACCCAACTTCGATCATTACGGTCAGCAGCAAAAGTATTTAAACACCTAAGAACTGTTTCGGAGTGTAACGGACTCATTAATAGGTTGAATATCCCTAAAAATTTGTGAACAGTCTAAATATAGTGGAAACTGGAAACACAGTAAGCTCGTTGATGAGCTGATGCATACTGTATTAAGTAGTTGCTTGGGAACGGAATATTCTGGTGTTCGAATCTATACGACTGTGATTGTAACAGACTCCTTAAATGGCCTGATAGGTACTTTAAATCGACCTCTTTGCATCATTATCTGACAAAATTATCACAGTTTACACCAGGTACACAACACATTTCAGATAAAAGAAATTACCAACCACATCAAATAAAATAACTGTAAACGGATGCAGTTTTAAAGAATCCAAAAAATAATGTACCAGTAATAAGTTGTTTTGATATAGCAGAATCACAAAAATTCTGCAGGTATGATCGATATACTTTTTATGCTCCATACAGTGTCAGGGAAAAATTAGTTAAGTGCTTAACCACAGTAATCTTCAACACGAGACAAAAGACCTAATCGCTCTTTTTCCAGGCTCTGTTAACAAACGTCACCTGCTGACTTTTGCATGCCAATAGTTCACTTGTCCTCGTCCTGTTCTATTCATAGATCATCGAGTATCAATTCAAATGAAGGAAGATACAAATACTTTAGTTGGCTTTTGTTAGATTATTTGATTAGGTTTGGTTCATTCATGAAGTTAATCAATTCACTTTCAGGCTGATAAAAACGGATGAGCAAATTTGAATGTTTTATTTCAGGAATTTGTAATAATCGTATGCTGATGCAGAGGAAAACATTATTGTTCACAAACGTCATTTTCTCCGCAGCATAGAAATCCAGTCATCCGTAATTTATTACATATATCATCCTTAAGCTTATCATGCGTCTGTCCGGCTCTGTATTGGGTACAGACTCTGTATGATCAAGAATGTGCTCATAACTACGCGAATCAACAGTGGACGTGGGAACAGACTTGTCAGACTCATAGAAAGGTATCTGCCCAAGATATCAGCTGCGCGCTTATATAATTAGCACCTGAGATTTGAATCATAGACTTAACAGCATTCTTCAGCGCAATTATCATGATTGTTGGAAATCTGTCCCACAAAAATCAGCAAATTCTGCAGACTCTGAATGCTTCGTATTCGGACGGAGAATCCTTTCCTTTAAAAATTTGTTGTGAAGTCTCTTTCATTACGAATGCCTAGCTTTTCTAAGTTGCGGCAGAAACGTGTTTACGTCCCTATTCACTTCACCAAGTATTTAAGCAGCAATGGAATAAGTAGCAATTTTTAATGTCTTGACGAAATTTTCTGTCTGATCATTAGAACATGGGTGTCTGTAAGCAGTGAACAGATGTCTGAACCGTTTATCATTCAATCGGGTAGTAACTATGTTTTAAGCGAAATCAGTGCCATTATCAGTCACTAATACCTTCGGTGCCCCTTCCTGACACAAACTTCTCTTAACACTCAGATTGCTGGGTCGTAATTCGGTGAAATTGTGAAAAAAGAATCACTAACAACAAGTGCATGATATTTAATGACAAACGGATCACAATAGTCTACATGAATTCACTGCCAGGCGATACTAGCCATGGAGCACACCTCGAACGATTATCTTTCGGCTTATATCACCTTTCACAATTGTTTGCTGCATGATGTGTATCTGGTACTATTTTCAGCCACAAACACGTAAGACTTGCCAGAGATTTGATTTTCTCAGAACCCGAAAGATCTTCATGCACAGATCTACGTAGTGAAGGAGAAACAACAACACGATCATTTGAAAACAAAACACAATCAGGAGTAGTGGATAACTCATACCACTTTAAGAATAGATTAAAAAATCTACTTTACAGACTAGCATTCTAATCTTTTCGTATAGCACTGAGCAGACATCCAAAGTATCGGCGAGTTGCTGTGATGGGATCTGGACGTCCCAATAGTTAGCGTGGCACTAATAAACAGTCTGAAGTATTGACAGACTTGTCTTGTAGTGATTGTCGAGATGTATAGTTCGCATGCTGAATTTGTTTGGCTGAATTTGTCAGTCGAGCTAGTCACTTCATATCTAGTTTAAAACCGTCAAACAGGTATCCAAGATATTCAAAACTAGGAAGACAAAATGAACACATATTTAGATTCGTCTCAATAGATGAGGAAATAAAGTAATAAGTCTCTGATAATGAGCTGCCTTATCAGGACCATGAATAAGAAGATCATCCTGATAAACTTCAACACAATTGGTTTCATTGGCTCCATCATTTATCATTTCCTGTAATATGTTAGGAGAACAACGTAAACCAAATGTTTCTGGATAAAGTAAAGGAGTGTTAATTGTTCTTAAATATATGAAAATTTCCCTGAGAGGATTTGAAAATAAGCTTCTTATAAACCGATTTTCAAGTATACCTTAGAACCGTGAAGTCGACTGGAATAAACCTTGGCTCCCACCGTCATGTATATTTACCTCAACAAACGGGAGTTTTGTGTTAATTTATCATCGTAGCATATTTTAGGAATCTTACTACCAGACTTTAAGGGAGTAAAAATAGGAGAGCCCCATGATGAAGACTGGATCAGTCAAATTATGACTTTTGCATGCAGATCATTCACTGTCTTCTCGATAATCACAAGGAATTATTCGTCTCTTCAAATTGACTGGGTCATCCTGTGCCTGAATTTCTGTAGGCTGAATTCTTATCCTTCCATTGCACGCAGCACATGCAGCTATTCAGTCTTCAAGCAAAGCATCAGAATCTCCTTTGAAGCCAACAAATAGAACCTCATTCTAACTTTTTCCAACTTTCGAAAAACCGGTATATATGGTCCTGTTTCACTTACTAAAATCTCACATAAATAAATAATATATTTGTAATATCCCAACGAGTAGAAAAATTAGATTTTCTGACATTTCGTGACTTAGTGTAAGCGACTTCTTCGGAGAACAAATAACCAAATTAAAATTAATACAAGTTTATATAGTACAACGGAACAACACGAATATCACTGATTCATGGTATTTAGTTTTCGGAATTAGCCCTCTTCCTAAATTCAAAATATTTCTAACAGCTGCTAGAAGTTAAAGATTAACTCCTTTTGTAGCTCTTCTAGATTTACTGCTGGTCCCAAACCCAGGAAAAGAAGGGTTGGGTACAGGGTTGACCACCCGATCCCGTTGTAAACAATCCTGCTAAAAATACGTTAACTATAATTGCCAAATTAAACTGTTTAAACTCTGTGCTAAGAATTAAAGAATCTTCTTTCAGAGAGTTTGTGACGCTTGATGGTGAGAGTCAATATTTATCGAAAATCATGAGGTTAATGTCATTTTTAACAACCTGAGTTACAAATGATATAGCAACATGGAATGTCCGGACAATGTGCGGTACAAGAAGGACTGTTCAAATGACTAGGTAAATGTGGAGATACAACTTGTCGGTGCTTGGAATGTGTGAAACCTATTGGGCCAAAGCTGGACAGAAAAGGATAGATTCAAGAGAACTGCTGCTGTACTTTGGTCATTAAGGAGAAAATGCCTCACATTCAGGGAGATGCTCTGATACTCTCAAGAGAAGCACGTAAAGCACTTATAAGATGAGAATCTCATGGATCTAGAATACTGTGTTGTTTGAACGAACTAATGATACTTTTGTACTTGTTGATTGCACGATTTCGAATTCCAAATACAGTACATTCGTTTGTGCTTGTGTCTTACTTCTTAATTCAGTTGCGTTAATTCTGGGATTCCTAGTTCATACTACAATTCAAATAATTCGAAATATTATACTGGTGTCGCGATGGAGCCTTCAATGGAAAAGTTGAACATTCGTTCAACTTCAGAAGCTTTTGGGGATTCTTTAGAAAGGTTTGAAATCTGGAGCATGATTAAGAAAAATGTTGAAGGTGATAAAATTGTGGCACATTTCCTGACATTCATTGGGAGAGAAGCGTACAGCTTGTTAAAAACTTTGGCATATCCAGAAAAACCTATCTCACTTCCTTATTCAACTCTTAAGGAGCTATTATTAAATCATGTAAAGTGCACCAGTTTTGAATGCCGTGAAGGGGCGAAATTTCATAAGATGGTACGTCAAAATGACCAGAAGGGTAGGGAATTCATCCTTGAATTACAGAAACAAGCTGCCAAGTGTAATTTCGGTGATCAACTTCATGTGCAACTGAGAGATCGATTAATTGCAGGAATTAACATACCGAGTTTGGAAAGAGAGCTGTTAAAAATGCCAAACTGTTCCTTTCAAGATGCTAGGACTGCGTGTATTAACTACAAAGCAGTGAATGAACTTGATATCCAGTCGATGAAGATTTCTGATACTTTGCTTAGTCGTCATGATGAACTACAATCTCAGGGTCAATCAAATTTGCGTTCATTTAACAGTGATTCCTATTCTCGTGTAAATATGAAAGGTGTTTTGACAAGGAATTACAAAGCAAATCACGAAGTTGAGATGAAGTTTGGTAAATGTTTATCATGTGGAAAGTTCAATGCTCGTAATTCATGTGCATTTCGTAATGCTAAATGTATTAAATGTGGTAAGATAGGACACATTCAGTCAGTGTGCTAAGCTACTGTCCATTTTGCTTCAAGTAGTACTAAGTCTTGTAATTTAAATCTCAATAATTGGGATGTTTCTAGCGATCATTTATTTTTGTCTACTATTTCGAACGGT